AACTAATAATATTGTTATAAAATTCATTGAATTTAATAAGAAACTACGATAATCAATTTACTGAAATTTTTCAGATTAACATTTTATGTTATTTTTATCAACAATATTAAGTGAAAATTACAGTATGAAAATATCTTTCTAGCAATTTTTTGAACAGACAACATTAAGACTATGTCTCGATTTGTATTTTTTTTTTTATACACTATTTTTTTTTAAAATAGTCAATTAAGATTTCAATTATCCAAAAAATATATTTAATTATGCGCAAAGCGCGGATGAGTATACTAGTTCTAAATAGTTGACAAAAATGATAAATGGCAATTTTGACAAAGAGAGGTGTCACGTCATTCTTTTATTATTCAGCTTTATATCTATAAATATGAGAAATCTTATTATATAAACACATATAAGTAAGCATGATTAAGATAAATATTCATCAATACATCATCTCATTTGATGAACTACTACTATTAAAAAATTAAAATGCATTGATAATTTTGTAAGAGCATTTCCCAAGAACACCTAAACTAAAATGATTGATTCATATATGCATAGTTTGATTGTGAAAGATATATATAGGTTAATTTTTATCTTTTCATTTCTCATCTTTTAATATATTATTACTCCACATTAATAAAATTAATTAAGAATTATATAAATTAAAGGTGGATGAATACATAAATAAATATTAAAAATTTTAATAAAGAAGGCAATTATAGTGGGTAGTGAAAAATTGATTGAATTGAATAAATATTTTTTAGTTATAAAAAAAAAATAAGTAATTAAATTTGTCTCCATCTTTTAACATATGCAAAATTAAATAATGAAAGTTATAAATATTGAAGATTAGATAGTTATGAGTATTTTATTAATATAATTAAGAATATTATTTATAAATATGTAGAGGTGTGAGTTATAAAGATGAGATTTTTAAATAAATTAATGGAGAAAAATTAGAAAAGAAAATTAAAAAAGGAGCAAGAAGAGACAAATATAACTTTGCCTATATCTGATACTCCTCCGTTTCACAAAGAGTGATCTGGTTTGACTTGGCACGAAGTTTTAGAAAATAAAAAAGACTTTTGAATCTTGTGGTCCTAAATTAAAGTTATGTCAAATGTACTAAATTGTCCTTCAATCTTGTGGCTTTAAACATGCCACGTGGAAATGTGAAATTAAAATGTTATCAAAAAGAAAAGAGATCATTCTTTTTGAAACAAACTAAAAAGGAAAGGAGATCATTCTTTTTTAAACGGATGGAGTACTATTTATTTTTGTATATATAAATAAGAAATAAATTTGTAATAAAAATAGTGCTAATATTAATGAGGAAAGAGAAAAGGTAAGTGTAGGTATTTTTTGAAAGTATAATATTAACGAGGAAAGAGGAAATTTAAGTGTAGGTATTTTCTGAAATTTTTTAAAGCACAATTATTTTGGTAATAATATATGAAAAATAAAGAAGTAAAAAGAGGAAAGATAGGAAGATATAAATAGTGTAGTAATAATTAGGAAAGAGAAAATTTAAGTGTACCTATTTTCTGATTTTTTTTTAAAAAAAGAACAAATTATAGTAAAAGTCCAAAAAATTGACAAAAACAATTCTGGACAAAAAAAAGGTGCCATGTCGGATTTTTATTATTCAACTTTATATATATATATATATATATATGATTCCGGGTTAAAAGAGTAGTCAAATGTAGATGTTGCAAGGGCAAGGCGTAGCGTGCGTAACGTAGACACACATTTAAGGGGACACCTCTCTTTTCCCATTTTTACGATTAAGAAAATTCAGATCACTTCACTTGTTCATGTTTTATGTAAAACTAAATTTCATTTTTTTTCCACATTACCATTTTCAACATAAAAAAAGGGTCAGACTTTCTGCTATTTTATATTAAATTATACTTGGTGCTAAGACAAGAAGGAAGGTGATGGGGTATTTTTTGACAAAATGATTGATCATTGAAAATTATAAAATTTAATTTGGTAATGGAAGTGTCTAATTTTTTCATTGTCTAGTTAGATAAGTGGGAAGTTGAAATTTCTAAGGTTAATTAATTATGTGTACTTTTTAGGTATCTGATTAGATGATGCAAATGTCTGATTGGTCTTCCTTACTAATCTTAGGTTCCCGCTTCCCAGCAGAATGCAGTGTTGTGTGAATCCCCCTTGTTGATTTTGGATCAGTACTAAGAAAATTGTTTTCTTCTTCTTTCTGTGCCAATTTTCACAATCACTCAAAATTTCGGTATCCATATATTCTACTTTGTTTGATTTGATTTGACATTGAATCATGTGGTCTAGTATGTAGAATATACTAAAATGTCTTTTAATCTTAAATATGTCATGTTAGAATCAAAATGAAAAGTAAGACAAATAAATTGAATTTGTGGTGTCATATATATGCAAGTGATGCAATATCTCATCCACTATTTTGTTTACTGAAGCTATATGATAATGTTACAGTATTAGTCTAAATTTCCTCTTTCTCCCATTCTAGAAAATGTAATTGAACTTTTTCCTATTGCAGAATTTAGAAAAAAGGAAAATGGTTAAGATTTGTTGTATAGGAGCTGGATATGTAGGTGGTCCCACCATGGCTGTCATAGCACTGAAATGCCCCTCTGTTGAAGTAGCTGTTGTAGATATTTCAGTGCCTCGCATCATCGCCTGGAACAGTGACCATCTCCCTATCTATGAGCCAGGCCTTTAGGATATAGTGAAGGAATGCCGAGGCAGGAATCTCTTCTTTAGCAAGATGTGGAGAAACATGTGTGTGAAGCTGATATAGTTTTTCTTTCTGTTAACACTCCTACAAAGACTAGAGGCCTCGGAGCAGGCAAGGCTGCTGATCTCACTTACTGGGAGAGTGCAGCTTGCATGATTGCTGATGTCTCAAAATCTGACAAAATTGTGGTTGAGAAATCAACTGTTCCAGTCAAAACTGTTGAGGCAATTGAGAGGATTTTGACCCACAACAGCAACAACGGAATTAACTTCCAAATCCTCTCAAACCCTGAGTTTCTTGTAGAGGGGACTGCAATTGAAAACCTTTTTAAACCTGACAGAGTCTTAATTGGAGGAAGCGAAACTCCAGGAGGCCAGAAGGCTATCCAAGCATTGAAGGATGTTTATACCCAATGGGTTCCTGAAGATTGCATCATCACAACCAATTTGTGGTCTGCTGAGCTCTCAAAACTGGCTGCCAATGCATTCTTGGCCCAAAAAATCTCTTCTGTGAATGCCATGTCAGCTCTCTGCGAGGCTACTGGAGCAAATGTTTCAGAGGTATCATATGTTGTTGGTAAGGACTCCAGGATTCGTCCTAAGTTTCTTAATGCTAGTGTTGGATTCGGTGGCTCTTGCTTCCAGAAGGATATTCTGAATCTGGTTTACATATGCGAATGCAATGGTCTTCCAGAGCTGGCTGAATACTGGAAACAGGTAATCAAGATCAATGACTATCAGAAGATTCGTTTTGTCAATCGTGTTGTTGCCTCCATGTTCAACACAGTATCAGGCAAGAAAGTGGCCATTCTAGGTTTTGCTTTCAAGAAGGATACTGGTGATACTCGAGAGACCCCTGCGATTGATGTTTGCAAGGGACTATTGGGAGACAAGGCTAAGTTGAGCATATATGACCCTCAGGTTAACGAGGACCAAATCCAAAGGGACCTTGCAATGAAAAAGTTTGATTGGGATCATCCCCTTCACCTCCAGCCAATGAGTCCAACTGGTGTGAAACAAGTTTCAGTCGTGTGGGATGCCTACACCACGACAAAGGATGCTCATGCTGTTTGCATTCTTACAGAGTGGGATGGATTCAAGAGTCTTGATTACAAGAAGATATACGATAACATGCAGAAACCTGCTTTCATATTTGATGGTAGGAATGTTGTTGACGCGGACAAGCTTAGAGAGATTGGATTTATTGTCTATGCAATTGGTAAGCCCCTGGATGCTTGGCTAAAGGACATGCCTGCTGTTGTTTGAAATCCCTACTTTTCTTACTAGTAATCAGATAGTCAGCTTAGCCGAGATTCATTCTTTACTATTTGTTTTTTCCCTTGTGACACAGAACAGAGTCATTCTCTACTATTTGTTGTTATACTTTTTGGTATTTGAGTATTTACCAGAAAAATTACAAAATCAAATAGCCTCGCACTTACTCTTTTATGTTAAAAGAAAAAGAATTTTTTTTTGAGCAAAATCCTACGTATAATGATGGGTGCTTAGCACAGTAACAGATAAAACATTGGATCAACTTAAATGGCTCGTATGCATCTCACAAGCTAAATTCAGTTAATACAACTATTCTCATGTGCTTTAAATATAGCAGATATTAAAAGTGTTTTAACTGTTGTGAATAATTTGGTGGTTAAACTGATGACCATAACTCCTAGGTTAATTTCCGTAGTAGTGTTGTTGATAGTGGTCAAATGGATAACCATAACTCCAAGGTTGATATTGGTAGTAATGTTGTTGATAATATGATCAAATGGATGACCATAACTCCTAGGGTTTATTTCCTCATATTTTCAAGGTTTAACGTCATGTTTATGACATCCTTAATGTAATCCTATAAATAGTAGTATTGAGAATGATATTGAATACACTTGAAAGAAAGAAAGTTAATTTATATTCTTGTTATTTTCATCGTTATATTGCTCTTTTGTTTTTAAGTTTTACAAATGACAAAAAATTTCATAATTTCATTTGAAGTTTATTTTACTTGAATTTGGCTCGTGATAGCAAGTTTAATGTAGGTTGTCCATATGTTATGGGAAATAATATGGATGGATCCATATTTGATCCACCATAAATAAATAAATTAATTATCCAATCCGTTTATGGTGGACGATTCTATCGGCACCATGCCACAAATGTTTGTACTGCTTTCTTTTCCCTTCCAATTTTAGGAATCATCCATCAAATGAGGCAGTATAAGTCTTGTTTCATGATATAATTTAATGTCACCAAAACATTAAATCAAGGAGAAGCAGAAAATGAGACTCTTCATCTCTTATTAAGTGGTAATAACATCATCCTCTTACACATACATTATATACCTTCATCACATGATAAAAAGAGAAGCTACATACTGTACCTTTGTTATTTTTCATTCACTTCCCCCTCTTATGCTATTTCCACAGCTTCAATGTTCCAAATGTCTTTGGCATATTCATGGATTGTTCTGTCACTGCTGAACTTGTACGATCCCGCTGTATTCAAGATTGACATCTTTGTCCACCTCTGACCAAGTGATAAACACAAGTCATTTTTTACAAATGATCAAAGTCAATATCATACACAAAACATGAGAAACCAAACAAAATATCCACAATGAATTGCAACAAACTAGACTTACTTTCTGGTCGCGATATGCCTCATCAACTTTCTCTTGGCATTGTATGTAACTGGGGAAGTCGTTGCCCACAAGGAAATAGTCAGCACGGCCAAAACCTTCATTTCCTTCCAACGATCCAATTAGGTCATCATAGTTATAAGAGCCAAAAGCACCGCTTCTAACAAATTCCTTCACCTCTTCAAAACGTTCATCAGGTACAAACTACAAAAGAGAGGAAATAAGATTTTCGTCCAATAACTGAGCAAGGTGACGATTCAAATGCATCTAAGAAGAAACTTTAGGGGGGTTACTGGTAAGGAAATAAAAGACGAAATTTGACCAATCAACCAAGAAAAAAGAACATTGATCAACATGTCACTCAAAAGAGGGGTGACCTTTACCTTTCCGTCAGCTCTTTCTTTTCTAAGCCCTGCAATTTCATGAGCTTGAGCACCAAAGAGAAAGAAGTTTTCTTCTCCAACCTCTTCCCTTATTTCAACATTAGCGCCATCCAATGTACCAATTTGGATACAACCATTCATTGCAAACTTCATATTACTGGTTCCACTGGCCTCCATTCCAGCCGTACTGGGGATAGGAAGAAAGAGAGTCAAATATACATATAAATCTCTACATAAAGCTAAAAACATACACCAACAAGATTAATGGAAATATTAGATTTTTATGTGCAGTTATCACATTACTGAGAAATGAATTGGCTTGGATAAACATTTTCCACTAGTAGCTGCCCCCTTTAAGTATCATTAAGTGACAACATAAAATCATCCTCTTTTTTTTTTTTTCTAAAAAGGAACATTAAATCTTCAATTTTCATGAACCATTAGTTGGCTATTACCAAAGTTTTCCCAATGAAATAGACTAGCCACTGCCCAGTAGTTCCCTTTAAGTTTTATTTTGATACGTAAAATTGATGTTACTAGGCCATATAAGTATTGATCTGCTTGTGTCAAAAATTGGGGAAAAGCGTTAACCGCCATCAATAAAAGAGGAGCATGAAGATCCAAAAGTGCTACCCCTATTCCCAGCCTTCGATGTATAAACAGGATTCAGCTGAAATTTTCACATCATATGCATTCGCCACTGCAGACATGCTAGGAAAACTGATGTCGTCCACACGAAGGCAGGACACATTAGAGAGACTATAACTGCATAAGGACAGGAATCTTAATGGTGCCCAAATTACTATATTATCACATATAGTAGGATCATTTTGTAACAATTGAAATTCCAAATAGAACATACACAGTTTACTGCCAGGACAATCAAATAAAATGGTGCTGCTTTGTGTGTGTGAATGAATGAGATGATCACTGTCATGTCACACCACTTCACTATGCATTCGATTTGATACATATATAAACTATGCATGTGATGAATATTACAATAATAACAGTATTATAGCATGATATCACTCTCAACACCCGAGTTATCCTAGTGATGAGAAACTAAGCAGCTAATCGTCCAGTTATGTTCGCACAAAGCCACAGACAAATTTAACATAGTATAGAGTTGTTGGATCAATTGTTACCAGTGGCAGCACAATTGAAAAGAAAGATGGGAGTCAGTTAATTACCTGATATGTTCTGATAGATCGCTAGCAGGAATTAGCAATTCAGCAACACTGACATTGTAATCTGGCACAAAGACTACCTACAAGAGATAAAGGAGAGGACTCTTCAGGTTAAAAGTGCAAAAAGTAATCACATGATGAAACAGATGCAGCAATATCACAGATAAAAAATAAAAATAAAATAAAAAAAGTGACCTCTTACTGCTAGAAAAGAATAGCTTGTATCAAAATCAAAGAAAAAAACTTTCAAGAGAAATAATCATGTTAATACCTTCAACAGATCACCGATTTCTGGATCATGATTTATAGTAGCACCAACATCTGTGATAAATTTTACAATCCTCTTGGCTTGCACATATGTGGCAAAAGCTTTTCCCCCAAATATGCATACTCGAGGAACGAAGTTAGTCTTTCTTTCTGCAGCTGTCATTTCTTTCATCTTCTTATACCGATAAACGATGCCGAAGATATTTAACAGTTGTCGCTTGTACTCGTGAATGCGTTTTACCTGAGAATTGGTTTTTTAATTGACAAGTGCATGATACTTCGTCCAAGAACAAGAATGATTCATATAACTAAGATAAAGCTAATTAATCTCATGGCCAGAACTGAAAAACGGAGAATAACACACCTGAATATCAAACATTGCATCTGGGACAACAGAATACCCTGTCTTTTCTTTGAGAAAGGAGACAACTTTAATCTTGTTGCTCCTTTTTGCTTCCCTCCACTCATTTTGAAGATCTTCGTTATCAGCAAACTGTGTGTGGTACCCATAGTTCAGATAGAACATAAGTCTAACCTTTTTGGGAAAATACACTCAGTTCGAAATTGGAACTGCTTTGTAAATAGCGATGATGAGTATACGTAATATTTTTTAACTTCACTATCAAATGGACAAAAGTGCAGGTTCAAGGTGTGATTTAGCTTCTATTCTTCAGTTGTTCTCCCGAAATTATGTAATTTAAAACCCCCAATTATAATTTAGTTTAACTTTAGTTATTGCACTTGTGCAAATCTTGATATTTGTTGTGGACAGCTTTGACCAGAATTTTGAAATCAATTGAAATAGGAGGGTAAGCTGCGACCTATGCACGGGTTTAGGGATGCCTAACACCTGTTCTTTAAACAAAGGAATTTCCTTGCCTAATTTCTATTTTTCACAACCATTTGGAGTAAAAAACTTCAAATGGGTTTCTTTCAAAATCAACTTCAAGTTTTGAAAAGAATTTCAAGGGATTGGTCAAGTGACTTGCACACTTAACAATACGATCTGTTTCCTTAGGTGGTGACTCCAAATTTTCAAATCCCTTTGGATTTAATCTTCGCGAACACAGCCTTCACATGTTTTTCGAAAATCAAAAACACTACGTGTCATAAATTTGGTGAATCTTTGGAAGGTGCCACAGAGAATGCATTTTCAACTATCTAACAACAAACAACAAAATTTCCACCTCATATTCATAAACATGCCAAGTCAGAAAAGGCAAATGAAATACCTTCTGCAATTCTGCCAATTTTTCAGTTTTCAGGACCCAATCCTCTGTACCAGTCCACTTAGTTATGATGGCACTAAGAGGAGGATTGCAGAAACGAATCCATCTTCTTGGAGTCACTCCATTTGTTTTGTTTTGGAACTTTTCCGGCCAGAGCTGTAAATGTTAAGAGTAAGATAATACATGAATTAAAACTCAGTTTGACAAAAATCACTGATCTGATACATATCAAAAGATTCATACTAATGATGCTTACCTCATAGAAGTCATTGAAAACCTCCTCCTTCACAATTTCACTATGGATCTCAGCAACTCCATTAACAGCATGGCCGCCCACAACACACAGGTTGGCCATGCGTACCTTCTTAGGTGGTATAACAGCTGGTTCCAGACTCACGGGAGTTTTCTTGTCAATGTCTTTTTCTGCAGCTGCTTCTATCTTCACACTAGTTTTCTTACCAGTGTCATCTTCATCATTAGTCACAACTTTATCGGAAGCTTCAACTTTGTCATGGACTTCTACTGTTTCAGTATCATCATCAACTGAGATTTCAGGCTTAATAAATAATTCAGCAACAGAACTGGGAAGATCAAAATTTTCTAAGATTCTCATTGTAGTCAACTTTTCCTCCAATTTGTTCAGATCCATTGAACCATACTTTAATACAATTTCATGTACCAGCTGTTAGGATAGCACACTGCAGAAATTAGTCAAAATAGTTTAACTTGCATAACCAAATAAATTTGTTAAATTTGTAGCTCCATCACCTCCTCGTCAATCGCCTCAATGATTTCGACATGTCTGGGAAGCAGTTTCTGCATCAATTCATAACTCCATTTCTCCAGTGCCTCAGGCAAAACAGTATGGTTTGTGTAGGCCACAGTTCTGGTAAGTTTCCAGCATTAAGGATTTCAGTGTTTCTAATAAGAAAATAAAATTGGAGGTATTGTTTTATGTTTAAAAGTAAAAGTGTGTTATCTCCTGTCATTTTGATGTTCGAAGACCAATTCAGATGATGTGGAACTTAAAGTTTAGTAATAAGATCTCATACTATAGTATCACTTGCATCATGTATTTAAACAAATTCAGATGATGCTTCCGTACAGTATATTCAGCACAAACCTCAATTTCCCACATGCAAAGCTTGTAACTTTCAGTACCTTTGAGTAATATTCCAAGCTTCATTCCAATTCAAGCCCTTCAGATCTATCAATATTCTCATCAGCTCAGGGATACAAAGTGTAGGGTGAGTGTCATTCATCTGCACAGCAACTTTTGCAGGAAACTCTTCCCACTTAATACGATCACCTGATCTCCTCTCAAATCGTGAAATAATATCTTGGAGAGAAGCCGAGCATAAGGTATATTGTTGCTTCAACCGAAGGATCTTTCCCTCCTCTGATTCATCCCCAGGGTAGAGTATGTAACATATCTGATGTTAGAGAAGAACTGGCTTAGACCAGTGTTTTTGAGAGCGAGAAGCGCTAAAAAGCGACAAGGACCCACTTTGCTTAAAGCAGAAGTGAAACACAGTTCTAAAAGAGTACCAAAATAAACCTCGCACAAATAAGTAAAATAACTAAATAAAAAAGAGCTCAACAAAAATGACACATAAGCAAATCTTTCAATTTAAAAACTAAAAAGTAGACAGCCAAAAATCCTCCATTGGGCATGCAAAATAAAAACCAAAACATAAATGGATCAACATCCGATTCTTCTTAAAGATTGTCAAAACCTCTTTTATCAACATCATTATATTGCTCATCATCTTCTCTTTCACTATAACCTCAAAAGGCGACGTACCTATGTGCCGCTGCAGTCCATCACTTAAAGTGTATAAGAGATCCCTTCTAATAACACTAGCTTAGCCATCTAAACTAATGCTATGCTAAGTATGTTACTATGTCCCTAATGTATATGAAGAGACAGAAAAGAAGAGTAGGTTAAAATGTGCCTAGGACAGTAGGAATATGAATATGAAATCTGTAATGGAATTAGTTAATCTAGGAGATGGAACTCGAAGAAGATGATTGCCGATTCAGGGTTATAACCGAGAATTGAGGCTTAATTGAATGTAGAAGAGGGAGAATCAGATATTATTTCATGAATGAATCCAATTACACATAATGGCTATATTTATAGAAATGAAACTGGGAACTGAAATCTGGAAATCTAACTGCTACAGTCTAACAACTTCAACTACTTCTAACTAATTCCCACGTCACCTAACTAACTTGCCAACTCAGCTAGTTCACAGTTAAACTTGTATCACTGACATTTTCAACAAAAAGAGTATTATCAAAACAAACTTGAAAGGGAAAAAGAAAAGAAGAGTAGGTTAATATATGCCTATAGGAACATGGATATCAGGTCTCTTGACATTTTCTACAAAAACTTAGTCATCAGTCTCTTGCCCCTCATTAAAAAAAAAAAGGCAAGAAGAAAACTAAGAGTATATTCAAAAAAGAAAAAGAGAAAAGAAATAAGAGTAGGTTAAAATGTGCCTAGGACACTTAGAAATACAGATATCAGGTCTCCTGACATCTTCCACACAAAAAAATAGTCTGTTGAATGAGCAGGCAGATTTAGTCATAATCTGCTCCACCATTGAGCTGCTAGATTTGATTATAATCTGCTCCACAAATAAAGCTGGCAGATTTGATTAGAATTTGCTCCTGTAAATATGGGATTAGAATATATTATTCTAGGAAAATAGTTTAGAGGAAATCCCTTAATTCAAGGATTTCCTAAGAATTAGGGATTGATTAGTTTATTTGGTCTTTACTTGTTCTCTTATAAATACTGTACAAACACTATGAATAAAATATACTTTTGCAGTATCTAAACTTTCATGGTATCAGGGCGGGACATTTTCCCCTAATATCATATGGATAAAACAGCCTTTCACAGAGAGCATCTTTCTGAAACATCAACAGGAAGCTCCTGTAGAAAATCTAATGACACAAGGAGGCAATGCTTCTCACATGCCCTTCCAGTTAACTTCTCATCGATTAAATGGGAAGAACTATCTGGAATGGGCACAGTCCGTAAAGCTTGCAATCGATGGCCGTGGAAAGCTGGGACATCTGACCGGAGAGACAAAAAAGCCGGGAGTTGGAGACCCAAAGATGAACTCCTGGAGATCAGAGAATTCACTCGTGATTACTTGGTTAATAAATTCTATGGAACCAGTCATAGGTAAATCTTATCTCCTTTTGCCCACTGCTAAGGATGTGTGGGAAGCTATTAGGGAGACATTCTGATTTAGAAAATGCCTCTCAAATTTTTGAGTTAAAAATTAAACTATGGCAAGCTAAGCAGGGTGAGAATGAAGTCACTACGTATTATAATGAAATGGTGTCCTTGTGGCAGGAGTTAGACCAGTGTTACAATGATGAATGGGAGTGTTCTATGGATAGTGTGAAAGCCAAAAAAAAGGAAGAAAATGAGTTTACCTTTTTTTAGCAGGATTAAACCGAGAGTTTGACGAGGTCAGGTCGCGAATCCTAGGAAAAAAAATCCTCTGCCCTCACTTTGTGAAACTTTTTCTGAAATTAGGAGAGAGGAAACTGGGAGGAAAGTTATGTTAAAATCTGATTTAAATGTTGAACTAAAACCTGTCATAGACTCTTCAGCTCTTGTAGCAGTGAAGAATGAAGAGGACAAAAAGAAAATGCCATGGTGTGATCATTGCAAAAAATATTGGCACACCCGTGAAACGTGTTGGAAGATTCATGGGAAACCACTAAACTGGAAGAACAAGGGAGTTGATGATCATGGCTTTCAATCTCAAAATGGTCAGGCCCTCCAAACAACTTATTTTGATCAGGGGCAGCAACCTTCTCCAGAAACGTCTCTATTTACAAGGGAACAATTGGAAATTCTGCACAAACTCCTTCAATCTCCACAATTTCGTGCAAATGCACCAAAATCTTCTAATCCTTCTTGTTCTTTTGCTGAAACTGTATCATCTGTATCGTCTACTTTTCTAAGTGTCAATTCCAACCAAATAGATTCTTGGATCATAGATTCAAGAGCTAGTGACCACATGACTGGGAGTTTCCGTTTTTTCTCTACTTACACTCCTTGTGCAGGGAACAGTAAAATCAAGATAGTTGATGGTTCCTTCTCAGCAATTGCTAGAAAAGGAACTTAAATTAACCCATTCTCTTAATTGTCGTATTGTTTTTTATTCCGATTTGTGTGAATTTCAGGAAAAGGTCTCGGGGAAGATGATTGGCAGTGCTAGAATCAGGAGGTCTTTATTTTCTTGACAACGGGAACAACTCACTACAGCTGAATCCTATTTTTTTAAACTCTACTTTTGTTTTGAATAAAGTCATGCTTTGGCACTATGGGCTTGGACATCCAAGTTTTTATTATTTAAAACATTTGTTACCTCAGTTATTTAGAAATAAAAATCCATCCTTATTCCAATGTGAATTTTGTGAAATGGCTAAGCATCATTGATCTTCTTTTCCTTCTCAAAGATATCATGCTTCAAAACCTTTTACAATGATTCATAGTGATGTTTGGGGACCGTCTAGAATTTCAACAATGTTTGGAAAACGGTGGTTTGTAACTTTTATTGACGATCATACTAGATTGAGTTGGGTTTTTTTATTGAAGGACAAATCTGAGGTTAAAAATGTGTTTGAGACTTTCCATGTCATGGTGGAAACACAGTTCAATGAGAAAATCAAGATTTTTCAGAGTGACAATGGCCGTGAATTTTTTAATGAACAATTAGGAAGTTTTTTCAGAAAAACTGGGGTAGTACACCAAGGCTCTTGTCCAGATACACCTCAACAAAATGGTATCGTCGAAAGAAAGAATAGACACCTTTTACCTTTTAGAGGTAACGAGAGCTTTAATGTTTACTAGTAAAGTTCCACAACACCTTTGGGGAGAGGCTCTTTTGACTGCCACTAACCTTATTTATAGAATGCCATCTCGCCCTCTTGAATTTAAGACACCTTTTAAAGTTTTCAGAGAAAGTTTTCCTAGTTCTAGGTTAACTACAGATCTACCTCTGAGAGTTTTTGGTTGTACAACATTTGTTCATGTTCATAATCGTAGTAAACTTGAACCGCGGGCTAAGAAGTGTATTTTTGTAGGATATGCCCCAAGTCAAAAGGGATATAAGTGTTATGATCCACATGCTAGGAAGATAATTGTCACAATGGACCTAACTTTCTTTGAGTCGCAACTCTATTTTACTACTCATCTTCAGGGGGAGTATCATGTACGTGAAGATTTGTTTTTTGTGATATTGAGGAAACTAGATATCAAGCAAATGAGGAGCCTAATATTACAATAAATACTGATGTGAGAGATGTGGGGGAAGATATAAATAAGTGTGATCCAAGATATGATAAGGACCAAAGTGACTTAAATGATAAAAACTCAAAAATTGAACCTGAACCTGTAGCGCCTTCAAATGACAAAAATAAAAATGGGAATAGAGAACAAAAAACAGAAATGCAGGTGTATTTGAGAAGGAACCAAACTCAAGAAAAAAGGACCGAAGATTCTCAACACTGCCAAAAATCAGTCCCACAAGACCTTACTATAATTCAAGGTACTCTTCCAACTGATTCTATTTCTAATTCCTTAGATCTAGATCTACCTATTGCGAAACGCAAAGGTATTAGAAATACTTCTAAATATCCTATTTCTATGTTAGTGTCCTACAAAAAGTTGTCTCCTAGTTATTCAGCCTCTACTTCACAACTCTCTAGTGTGGAGATTCCAACAAATGTGCAGGATGCTCTACAAGTTCCCGAGTGGAAGGAGGCTATTTTGGAGGAATTGCGAGCTCTTGAAAAAAATGAGACATGGGAGTTAGTGGATTTACCCGAGGGAAAGAAACCAGTGGGTTGTAAATGGGTGTTCACCTCCAAATTCAAATCAGACGGATCCTTGGAAAGGTATAAGGCCCACCTCGTAGCTAAGGGATTCACACAGACATATGGCAATGGCATTGACTATCTCGAGACGTTTGCTCCAGTAGCTAAGCTAAACTCAATTAGAGTTCTGTTGACAATCGCAGTAAATCTCGACGGGTCTCTTTAGCAGTTGGATATGAAGAATGCTTTCTTGAACGGGCACCTAGAGGAAGAAGTCTATATGGATCCCCCACCAGGTTTTGAAGGGAAGTACAAGTCAAAAATATGCAGGCTTAGAAGATCTCTTTATGGTCTAAAACAATCTCCAAGGGCTTGGTTCGAAAGGTTTACTCAATTTGTGAAAAGGCAAGGGTATGTGCAAGGACAAACAGATCACACAATGTTTACTCGACATTCACTAGAAGGAAAAACAACAGTTCTTATAGTGTATGTTAAGGCTGGGCATCGGACCGGAATGGGACCACTGGACTGGAACGAACCGGTACCGGATCGGAACGGGACGGTTTGACCGGGTTGTTGACCGGTACCGGGATGAACCGGACCGGAACTACCGGGATGGAGGCTCAGTTCCGTCCCGTCCCACTATATACCGGGATAGAACCGGTACGGACCGGAATGGACCGGAACGGAACGGGATGGGATAAACGGGACAACACATATAGCTATTTCAAAAAATAATTATTTTTTTTGAGTTATTTTGAATTACGAAAATACGAATGTTTTTTTTATTTTTCTAAGTTATATTAGTTTATAGTATTTAAGTTTTAAAATTTATAATAATTTTACTTAAGTTTATTTTAAAGATATTTTTTTTATTTTTTACGTATATAAGTTTGTAAGTTAAGTTTAATAAAGTTTTTTTTTAGTTTTTGAGCTTATGTAGTTATGTTATAAGTTTTAAAGATTTGAATCTTTTGAAGTTTATAAGTTATTAAGTTATACTTATAACTTGTAAGTTAAATAACTTAAGTTTGTAATTTTAAAAAATTAAATAAAAAAAAAAGAAATGCTAATAAAAGTAAATAATGACAAAAATATTATTTTTTATTTTAATTAAAAATGATTACCGGAACCGGACCGGACCGGAACGGAACCGGACCGGACCGGACCGGACCGGAACGGAACCGGACCGGACCGGAATGAACCGGGATGAACCGGTACCAGTATACCGGTACCAAATCATGATACCGTTCCGTTCCGTGTACCGGTTCAATGTATCCCATCCCGTCCCGAATACTACCGGACCGGAATGGTACCGGTACAACCCGTTCCGGTGCCCAGCCGTAGTGTATGTTGACGATATCATCCTCACAGGAGAGGATGTGGTTGAGATAAAAAATCTAAAGGAACGTCTTGCCTCAGAATTTGAGATACAGGACTTAGGCCCGCTAAAGTACTTTCTTGGCATGGAGGTTGCACGATCGAAGAAAGGAATTATAGTGTCACAAAGGAAGTATGTTCTTGATCTGTTAAAAGAAACAGGAATGAGTGGTTGTAGACCAACTGAAACTCCAATTGATCCAAATCTGAAGTTTGTAAAGGAAGGAAAATTGATTGATAAGGGTCAATATCAGAGATTGGTAGGCAAGTTGATTTACTTGTCACATACTAGACCTGATATTTCCTTTGCTGTGAGCCTAGTTATTCAGTTCATGTATTATCCACGAGAAGAACACCAAGAAGTTGTGTATCGAATCCCTTGTATCTAAAGAGTTCACCTGGGAAAGGGTTGTTCTTCAAGAAGAATGAGCAAAGAAGTCTTGAGGCTTATACGGATGCAGACTGGGCTGGTTCATCTATTGATAGGAGGTCTACATCTGGATATTGTACATTTGTTTGGGGAAATTTGGTGACATGGAGAAGTAAGAAGCAAAATGTGGTGGCTCGAAGTAGTGCTGAGGCTGAGTATCGATCCATGGCACACGGAATTTGTGAAATATTGTGGCTCAAGAGATTTTTGGAAGAACTAAGAAGACCTGTGAGTTTTCCAATGAAGTTGTATTGTGACAATAAGGCTGCCATAAGCATTGCTCGTAATCCAGTTCAACATGATAGAACAAAGCATGTTGAAGTGGACAGACACTTCATTAAAAAGAAGATTGAAGATGGAAGTGTGTGCATTCCTTTTGTTCCAACAACAGATCAAGTTGCAAATATTTTCACAAAAGGTCTTTTCAGAACTACTTTTGAGTCCTTTGTTAGCAAGTTAGACATGTTTGATATTTACATGCCGACTTGAGGGGGAGTGTTGAATGAGTAGGCAGATTTAGTCATAATCTGCACCACCATTGAGCTGGCAGATTTGATTATAATTTGCTCCACAAATAAAGCTGGCAGATTTGAGAATCTGCCCTGTAAATATGGGATTAGAATATATTATTCTAGGAAAATAGTTTAGAGGAAATCCCTTAATTCAAGGATTTCCTAAGAATTAGGGATTGATTAGTTTATTTGGTCTTTACTTGTTCTCTTATAAGTACTGTACAAACACTACGAATAAAATATACTTTTGCAGTATCTAAACTTTCATAGTCATTGGTCTCTCATTGGATCAGTGTTCTGATCATCCAGTGTATAATAGTGAAGTACTACTTCTGGTCAATTTAGGAAACAGATAAATGCATCTCTATAAAGTCCACTAGCTATGATGCAACCAGGAATCATGTCCTACAACTGTTGTTGGTCCGAAGATGCGGAAGTGTTGAGACTGAAAACTGAGAAGGCTCATACTGAAGCCCAAATTCACATTAAGAAAAGGCAAATAGATTATAAAACTGTAATACAAATTAATAGATTAAGTATACCTTCTCAGCGTTTGCTTGGGCTTCACATGCTTTGGTGTGCTCTCCAGCATTGAAAGCAGATAAATCAAAATCCGCTGATGGAACCTGTGTAGACCACAGTCGAAGGCTGATTGTGGTTCTGGTCTTATACCCTGGTATGGGAACATCATACGCAACTGCCTTTATATCCTCTCCACCAATCCAATACCTCTTTCCATCTGATCCTGTAGAGACTTTTCCATAGAATTTGATAGGATATGAAACATCATTCCTCACAACTTCCCATGGACTGCCAATCTGCATGGACAACCAACAATAATGAACATCCACATTGCATGAACAGAGTAAAAGTAAATAAGTCATACAGAAAGAGATAAACTATCTAAGGACGTAAACACATGTGAAATCAAGAACTGAATAAGTAATAAGCATACTTCAAGCCAATCTTCAGCCACCTCCTCCTGACCATCTTTTGTAATCCGTTGCTTAAATAAACCATACTTGTACCTAAGTCCATAGCCCCATGCTGGGTAGTTTAGTGTTGCCAAAGAGTCCAGAAAACAGGAAGCAAGCCGTCCCAAACCCCCATTTCCAAGAGCAGCATCTGGCTCCTGTCAATAATTATTCAAAATTAACAAGTAGTCAACTCCAAATAAAAACATAAAGACACAACAAGTATGGCATGTATGGCTTCTGAATATTATAACAGTCGATGCACAAAGTCACAAATGAATACACATAGTCCAACTGTTGTTGAGTAAAACACAGAAGAACTTGGAAAACTAGGTTTTTTCTGATGCGTGAAATAAAAGTCACACTGACCTGAGAAGCCACATTTTCTAGATTGTGGCCAAGGTTTTTCAAAGCTTCCGCAAATGCACCAGTAAGCTCCAGATTACCAATTGCATTTAACAATGCTCTACCCTAAACAGTAGATAGGGCATAAATTAAACTCAGCTCGCAAAGAGTTGTTTGTGCATAAATTTCAGAAACTCTCATGTGTAACAGTAAATATACAGTATAATTTGTCAGCAAATATCAAACGGATTAATTTCTTACTAGATATAATTTAAGGTCACTCTGCACAGTCATACAAAAGAGCAAAAGAGAAAGTAAGAATAATGAGATACCTGCAGAAATTCCATGGATAGATAGTACGCTTGCTTCATGTTCAGCTTTTCATAAATATCATACGTAGCATTCCAATTAATAAGGAGCGAATCACGAACACTTTGAGCTGTTGCAAAGAATGCCTTGGGGAGCTCAAACCTTTCAGGAGAGAATACAGGTGTGAATTCTGCATGGTATTTGATACTTGAGGTAATAGATGCGGCATCAGGAGCAAAAGAACTCAGGTCGCTCTCACCACCTATATATATGTCAAGCAATGGAATAAACATAAATCATGTAAGTAATAAATTGGAAGGAACTAATGGAAATACAATCGTGTACAACAAGTTCAATGGAATAAACATAAATCATGTAAGTAATTCCTAAGATCCATACATCAAGTTTCTGATGCTTCATTATTATATACTCCCTCCATACATCTTTTATACCTTTTTGAAGTGTCGGGTCTCTTTTTTATACTCCCTCCGTCCCATTTCATGTGAGGTAGTTTGACTCGGCACGGAGTTTAAGAAAGTAAGGAAGACTTTTAAAACATGTGATCCAAAATGAATGATAGAAATTTGTGTGGCTGTAAATTATTTCATTAAGGGTAAAATAGACATTTTATAGTTAAATTGTTACTTAATATAGAAATGTGTTATTCTTTTTTGGACGGACTAAAAAGAAAAGTAAGTCACATAAATTGGGACAAAGGGAGTACTATTTAGTAAGTCTTCCAATTTCAATATCCTACCTGGCAAGTCTAAGACCAGAAATTTTCAAAAACTACACACTTGTTTAATTTAACATCACAAGATTCAAAATTCTCCATTAATATCATAAACTGTCAAACTAAGACACTTAAATTGGGAGTACAAAATGAATAAGAAGTCACCGAATACTGCAAGAGTGCTTTAAACAAACATAAAATTTGATCAATAACAAGATTGGGAGGTCCAAACAAACTTTTTTTTTTCTAACCCACGAAATGTAGAGGCAGATGGATCTAATGGTTTCAACACACGAGTCCATGTATTGAAAAAAGTTTATGTATAAAATGTTGGTTCATCTACCCTACTTGGAGTGCAAATTTTGAATATTGAAATAGTATATTTAATGATATGGATTCGATACCAAATTTTGATATTGAAACAAATTGCAGAATAGTAAATTAATACATGAAAATAAGAGTGATACCTTGTTCAGTAATGGGATGGTGAATTTTCTCACTCAAGGTATTGTTGACATGGAAACAGCGTTTGGGTCTCCGAAAATGGGAGGTTTTGGTAAGGAACAATTTGGAGCTTGTGTTTCTAGAAGTGAAATGGATGAATCTGGAATTGGAGCTGTAATGGTTGAACAAGTGTGCTCCATTTGCAGTCGCCATTTTGTGCTCTCTATGCAAATCTAGCTTTTCGAATGAGAGTGATAAGAGAGTGAGGATTGTGAATTATTTTATTGATGAAGATTGGAGAAGTCAATTATTGATTCACACACAGGAATTAAGTGTGTTGTGTTGCGTCCTCTTGTGGAATGTCACCCTTTTTTCATTTATCAATGAAATCACGAAAATCTCCTGCACTACTCCCCTGCACTCTCTTATATTTGTCCATTTCCACAAATCCCTAACTTAATTACTTACCCACACTTTAAGGGGTCGTTTGGTAGAGTGTATAAGAACAATGTAAAATATGGTGCATTAGTAGTGCGTGCATTAGTTATGCAAGTATTATTTCTTATACATTGTTTGGTTTGATGTATTAGAAATATCAAATCTTGCATAATTACTATTAAATAATATATGTTTACAAAAATACTCTTCACACTTTATTTATTTGTACACTTCCTTTGCAAGAAAGTTCTTTGCTAAAACATCAAAATAAAATTCTTTGTTAAAAACATCATTAACTCTTCATCTTTTTAAATAAATAAATAGTATTAAATAGTTATACTATTGCGTCAAAATATTTTTGTGAAAGTTGGCAAATAATTTTTTTTATCAAATTTATTGTCACAATAGTAAATTTTTTTATTAAATTATATTGAAATTAGATTTTTTTTAAAAAAGATACTTAAAAGGCCATAAAGTCTATTAAGACACCAACAAATTAAAAGATACCGAAAAGCAAATAAAAATAAAAATAAAAACTTATGACAACAAAGAAAATGAAAAGGCTTTAAGGGTAGTTTTGTAATTATTTGATCTAATGCAAGTGTTAAAATGCTATGTATTACTAATACCTATAATTCCTTGGTATTAGTAATACACAACTTAATACACAATAGAGCGTATAACTAATGCATGCATGACATGAAAAAGTGTACCAAACAAGGTACTACTAATACACACACCTCATACATGCATTATATTTCTTAATACACTCTACCAAACAACCCCTAATTTTGAGATTATGGGTGCACTGTTATATAAAGGTTGATCTATGATATAAATTTGATCGGTTCGACATTTAGGTTTTTACTATTGAAAACCGTTAAAATTTTAAAATTATAGGTCTAAAATTAATTCTTATATACCAATTACCTCTTAGAGAAGTGTTATCTAATTTTAGAAAGAAAAATAAAACAAAATAATTATAAAATTCACTTTCTAACCTCGCGGAGAGAGGTGCACCCAGTCATAATTGCATTATCTGATGCTTGAAGTGTGGGTTCATGCATCTATATTTCAATATTTTTTAAAATTATAACACTACTATATATGATCTTGGGAGGGGACCATGGGTTCACGTGAACCCGCTGACCCCCCTTAGATACGCCTCTGTATCTAAGTAAAATTCATATATATTTTGAAATACATAAAAAATCTTCTCGCATCTCTTTCATCTCGCTTGCCATTGCGATACATACATATAGACAATGTGTACGCACAAATTTTTACAAATCGTGTCACCACTGCAAAATGTATCATTCTTTTTTAGGCAAACTAAAATAACGTGAATTATATAAATTGAAACAGAAAGATTGATACATTTATTACATCTTCTTTCGAATATAATAAATTTAATATTTTAAAAAATATACTTGAAATAATTACTATAGTTAGTAATAACAATAAATTAAACTTCATAATAATATATTAGCTTCTAATTTTTTAAAATAAATATTTTTTTAATATATGGGCCAAATAAAAATTGACGGAGAAAAGGTTAGTGATGTGGATCTTACTCTACCTAATGCATTGGGTAATGATCTCATGAGATCCGCAACTTGTGCGGTTCTTTCGTTTTTGAGAAGAAAAAAAAACGAGCAAATCATTTTATAATTTCATCCTATTCCTTAGTATAATATTTGGTCCAAAAATTGCTATTTTCCCTTTTTGTGTAAATAATAATAATGTTTGGTCAATTTAAGTTATTTCCATTATTTCATAAGATATATACTGTAATTTCAATGTCTCATTTAAACAATAATTCTATTTCTAAAATTTAAAAAATTGATTATGTTTTTTATTTAATTTTGTTAAAATTTGAACTCTCATTTATCAAATTTTTCATCACATTTCGTTCATCGTCTAATTGCATGTTGGCATGTTGGATATTGGAGAAGGGAAGAAAAAAGAGTTGAGTGTCAGTTTAGATGAAAGAAGATCCCAGTCAAGTATTATTTTCTCATGTAATGTTCAATGACTCTTAAATCAACGTCATGTGGATAATAAAATAAATTATGATTGAGATTCATTTCAAATCTTATACTTAACAGAAAAGTCAAAAATAATAAAAGTAAAGCTAATACTATCCATTAAAAATATTTGTGATCATTGACTGTTGAAAAGATTAGTCGACAAAATGTAAATAAATTTAAACTCAACGATAAAATATTTATATTTTTTTAAAAAAATCATCTAATTAAGATGAACCTAATCATAAGGAATTAAACTATCTAATTCTACAAACTTCATACAAGTATAAGAAATATGATCTACTTCTTTCACATTAACAACATGCTCTCAAGCATGCCTATATTTGTTAATCTTGTGTAGGATGGATAGATTATTATTTTTATGTTCATCCACTTTAATTAACAAAATATATATCAAATTTTAGGAGTTGAATTAGAAAAATAATATTGACTAGTGTTTTTTCAATAAGTATCTGGTGCATTTTAATGAATACCATTAGCTTCGCTTTTATCATTTTTGGCTTCTTCTGTTAAGTGTAAGATTTGGAATGAGTTTCAACCATAAATTATTTTATTTATGATCCACTCTAAGAGGTCATTTACATTACTTGAGGGGAATATTACTTGACTGGATCTTTTACCAGTTTAGATAGGCTTATTGTTTTTGACTTATTTTTATCCTTTTTGCTTTAAAATAAGCATTTTGAATCATTTTTTTAAAAGTATATTCAAACACTTCAAAAATATTTTAATATTATTTTAGCTTAAATATACTTGAAATAAATCAATCCAAACAAAACTGTATCAAATCGCTACCACTTGATGTGAGATTTTTGAGAAAAGCGGACGGGCGAAAATATGGTGATCGTTAATTGCTTTGTGGGCCGAGGCAGGAGAGTGACCGTTCATTTGGTCTTCACAAAGATATTAAAATCATAGAAATTGTACTATTATCTTGTCTTCTTACTATATACTATAAATTTATTATGATTTCACAAGGGTCATTATCAGAAAACCAATACCAACATGATGAGACAAGTGAAGGGGCCACCAATCACCATGGCATTTGCTTCAATTTTTAGAGGAACAGTTTTCAATCAATAATGTTTATAGAGAAGTTGTAAAAGGAGTACTCATTAACCAATATGAAAAACTTTTAAAGGATCGTTTGGTTTGTATACTATTCTTGATTTAGTAATACAAAAAAAAATCATAGTGCATGAATTAATAATACAAGATCAATTTCTATACTATGAGTTTGTTTATCCATCCATTGTTTACCTACAATCTAATATTATAGGGAAAATGCATAAGTACCCCCCCAGCCTATGCCCAAAATCCCTGAGACACACCTAACCTTTACTAAGGTCCTATTACCCACCCGAACTTATTTTTTAATTAATTTTTTACCACTTTCGGCTTATGTGGAAATATAAACCAAATAGGTTGAAAACTTTGTTCAACACGCGCCGGGCCCCATTTTTTCAACTTTCTAAAAAGTAGCTTTTACACTTCACAAAATTTCAAAAAGCTATCCTATTATTTATAATCTACTTTGTTAATATATTTTTAGTTAGTTTATAGATTTTAATGTTTATATATTTTATTTCAAATTTGGGCATGTAAAATTTTGTAAATATTATATATATAATTTTATTTTATTTATAGATAAAAAAAATTATTTATAATCTACTTTGTTAATATATTTTTAGTTAGTTTATAGTTTTCAATGTTTATATATTTTATTTTAAATTTGGGCTTGTAAAATTTTGTAAATATTATATATATAATTTTATTTTATTTATAGATAAAAAAATATTACTTATAATCTACTTTGTGAATATATTTTTAGTTAGTTTATAGCTTTCAATGTTTATATATTTTATTTCAAATTTGGGCTTGTAAAATTTTGTAAATATTATATATATAATTTTATTTTATTTATAGATAGTTACACTTTTCCAACTTTATCATAATTGTAGGATACTTATAAGACTAGAAGGTACTCTCTAATAGTGCATATAATTATTTTGTTTGTTCAAACATGTTTTTATTTGTATGCAACCTCAATTTTTATATCAATTATGTAGAAACTTTAATAGTGAATAATTTCGATCATTATTATTAATAGAACATAAGAAGAATTATTACTCAAAATCTTTACGTTAATAAAAATATAAATTGTTGTAACTATTATTTATAGATGATTAAAAAAATAAAATTGGGAAGAAAATAGTAAGTAAAAATTACACGTTATATTAAATTATCTTTACATTAATAAAAAAAGAAATTGTTGTTAGTATTATTTGTAATATAATTAAACAAAAAATAACAATGGGAAGAAAATAATAAGTAAAGATTACACGTTGTATTAAAATAATAAATTAAAAATTATGATAAATTTTATAATAGTCATAACAGGAATTTACGCAATAATTACTATATTAGAATACTAGAAAAATTGATAAGTTCCTTGACATCTAATCATTGATTAAAATTTAAATTATTATTTTCTTCTGCGAAAGTTTAAGAGATTAAATTAATGTTTTAAAAAATAATATAACAAACTGATTAATTAATTATTTTCAATGATTAATAAGAAAATGTATATAGCAAGTACATGTATTATTATTACATTATTTATATCCACTCTATATTAAATCATTTTTCTATTATAGTTTGACGCAAATTTCAGAATGTAAAGAATGTTTTGGATTCGAAAAATAAATATTCAAAATATACTAACATGTCATTTAATCTTATGATATTTTACATTTCATATGAAAAAAAATTAAATATTTAATATGAAAAATATTAGTTTATTAATACAACATAAAAGTAATAAAGGACAATATATAAAAATATTTGAAGTATTTGATATTTTATTAAATTAAAATAATTTTAAATTAAT